CGAGGCCGCGCCGCGGCGACGCGCTGCGCCGTAAACTGCCGTGAGAGAGCAGCCGCGCTCGCGTGTAATCCGTCGGCCCCGCGAGCGATTACGCAAGCACGCCGCGTACGCGAAATTATGCGGCCGACTCCCCCTTCGCCCGCGTCGCGCGCGCGTGAACCAAGGCAAGCCGGCGGACTGCCCTCTCCTGCGTCAGGCCTCGAGATGCGCCACGCAGCCCACCGACATTTAACTTCGGCTCGCCGCGGCTCACTTTTCGGAAAAATCCAGCGACGCCTCCGTTCGCGTGAGATTCGGGAGCTCGCCGCGAGACGCTCGGTTCCATGGAGCGCGCGTCGTCCGCGATCAACTGCCGCGGTCGAAGTCTCGCGCTCTCCTCCTCGCCGCTCGCCGACGTTGATTTGTGGCAGATGCGCGACGCCGTTTGGCGGCATCCGTCAGTGGCGAATGAGCGCGCGATAGCGCCAATAAACGTCGAGCCGGGGCTCAGGTGACTTCGATGCAAACAGAAAATTTGCGCTCGCTCGTTGTGCAAAGGGACTTGCGTAACGCGGCCGGATAAGCGCAGAGGCGCGCGCTCCTCGTTTTCATTTCGCAGCACGGGGGGAGAGTGGGGTATTCGCCGACAGCTGCGCGCGTTGCAAAAATGGGCCTGCTTCGCGTCGTCGCCGGTATCACTTAATCTCGCCCGCCGCGATAATTGGCCCGAGCGCGTCCGCCAGCGAGGCGCGCGAGCGTGCGACGGGAGCCTGTCGCGGAAACATTGCAGGCGCCGTAAAAGCGAGCGTGACGTAATGTCTGTCTCCGACGGCCGCCGCAGTAGGCTCGAGCTGTACCGCGGCGACGAGGCCTCGCCGATCAGCGACTCGCGTCCGCCTGTCGACCCATCGTCTCCTTCGGCTCGTCGCGCCTCGTCGTATCGCGGCGATGGCAGGCCAGTTTCGTTCGGCCGATGACGCAATCGACCGCGGCGGCAAACAACCGAGTCGCCGCTCGGCTCTCACGGAGAGCCCTAATCGCGGACAGCGAGAAGCAGCCGGCTGCGGCGATAAGCGTGGATGCGTACCGTGAACGGAGCGGCGCGCACGGGCCGAAGCCCGGCCTGCCCGGCGACTCGCCGAAAGTCCGATTTTCGATAACGCGGCGCGCGTCAAGCAGACGGAATCCACGCGGCAATGGGTGAAAGTGGATTAGCCCGCGCGATCGCGGCAGCTGGCGCAGCGACGGCAATTAGCGTGGAAACGAGTTTAACGGACGCCGGCCCTCAGCAGTCGAAATGCGTATGCGCGCGTGCGTTCGGGCTGATTCGATGATCGGCAAGAGAGAGCCTTTCGGGAAAAGCGATTACGGCACGGCTCGTTAGGTCGTTAGCGCGCTGGGGCAAAAATGTTTCGGCAGTGCGTTCCGGCCGCGAGTCCGCGGGGACGCGTAGCCGCGCCGCGCTTCCGGGATTACCGTTAATGGCGATACTCCGCGCCGCTAATGAGTGGCTCGCTCGGCCGCCGCTGAAAAATAACCGGGCGACGCGCCGGCAACCGACGAGATCGCATCCCCGCTCGCGCAGCTCTCTCTCTCTCTCGCTCTCTCTCGCTCTCTCTCTCTCCTTGCTCCCAGCGCGCGCCGCTCTCGGATGACTTTTGCAGGGTCTGCGGTCCCGCGCGCGAGTGCAATCGGCCCGCGGCACGAAGCTGCGCCCGAAGACGGTGAGTCACGTCGCGATAAGCCCGGCAGCGCGGAGTCGACCTCGGTCGCGGGTGCGCGCCCCGAGCAACAGTTGCCGAGATTCGGGACACCGGGAGCCGGGAGAAAAGGGCGCGGAGAGGAGCGAGGCGAAGGCGCGCCTGCGCGCGGCCCCTCGTCGAGTCAATTATGAATCACGCACGTGCTCGCGTTTTCTCCGCCGCGGCCGCACGTGGCCGCCTCGGCGGTCGGCGCGGAGAGCGGCTTTCGCCGAACGAGCGAACCGGTCGCGCCGCTCTCGGCGAGCGAGCCGCGCGCGAAACCGGAATCCGCCGGTGCGCGCTCCGCCGCGGCGGCCGATCGGCGCGCGACCCGCAGCGTCGGCCCGACGTAAACGCGCGATCGTTACGCGAGGCTCGAGCGGGGACGGGCCGCGCGCACCCGTTACGCAAAGCACTGCACGCTCACTCCCGGGAAGCCGCACTGCACCGCGCGCCGGAGCGCTGACCCGCGAACAAGTACCATCTGGACCATGCTGCTCGCCCGGAGAACGCAGGAGGCGGCGCGTGGCGCACCTGTCGACGCGGCCAGCTCGACTGACCGAGCGACTGGCGATCAGCCGGGCGACCTCGCGGACGGCGGCCTCGGCGGCATGCCTCGCGAGTCGTGGCGCTGACCGGCGCTTCGGGCCCGACGCCGCGCGCGGAGCTTCCTTCGCCTGGATGCCGCGTGTCGAACTGCAGCCAGCCGGCGGCGAGGCTCCGCCGGCCGCGGCTCGCCAGCCGCGCCGGGGAGGGGGTCCCGCCGACTCGCGGCCCCGCACCGCGCACACTTTCACCGCGCCGGCGGTGCGGCCGCTTTTCGCATGCACCTGCCCGCGCCGCTGCTCCGCGGCGGGCTTTCCCCCGACTCGCGCTCGCCTCTTCCTCCTCCTGGCCCTGACCGTCCGGGGAAATGCGCGTCGCCCGTCCGCTTTTTTCGTTTCTTTTTGCGTTTGCCTTATCGATTTACGATGTGTCGCGCACACACGCGCGCGCGCACACCAACCTGTGTCGTCGTCGTCGTCGTCGCCGTCGACACTCGATCTCTACTCCAAACAGATAATTTTGTGTGTTTACACAATACGCATACCTTATCTATGACTTTGCAACGGAAAATATTTTCTATTAATAACGTCGCTTCTCTCGAATGATCGCACATTCGCACATGTGGTATTTTTTTTCCTTTTTTACGTTGCATTGCGGTTACCCGAAGAAACCGAACAGATAGCAAACGGTATGTCGCGAAGCGTTGGAGACCACGTGTCTCGCTCGCGTCATCTGTCCGTTACGGATTGCAAGTGTAATTATTTGGCAAAATAAGGACGCGTGCGCAAGGCGCTCGATGAAACAAAGGCGAGCGAAGTGGAAAAGGCCGCGATTTGTGGAAATCGACGGGAAAAGTCCGGTCGGCTTTGGGAACGAGGCGAACGCGTGGGAATAAAAGGAAAAATGAAGAAGAAACTCACGTGGAGAGGATGATTAGAAAAGATTAGAGTCCGGGAACCCGATTCTCCCAAGCCCACGCGAACAGTCCCATTTCCATTAGGCCGCCGCGATAGCGCGCATTAGCGTAAATCGTGGGTGGCTTCGGTGGAGGCGGCACCTTAGCGACTTGTCGACGAACGCGTCATCGCCGACCAAATTGCACGAGTTACAACACCGCCGCCAATTCCTTGCCACTGACCTGGCCGCGCACTCCACGATTATTAAGCCGTACTCGGACTCGTTCGTTTTCCGCCTTATCCTTTATTGCTTCCTCTCTATCTTCTCGCTTAAGTGCCAAGAGCCGCCCGCTCTCTCTCTCTCTCTCTCTCTCTCTCTCTCTCTCTCGCTCTCTCTCTCTCTCTCTCTCTCTCTCTCGCTCTCGCAGAGCCTCCGTCTGGCTATTTCTTTTTCTCTTGCCTTTCCTTGTTTTGCCTCGACGCTTCCCCTTTGACAGCGGACTCTTGGCACTTTTAACGCGCCTTTGATTCTGCGCCCGACGCGCTCGACAATTATTATCGCTCCTCGAGCTTTCTCTCCGCTTCGGATATCTGGCTCGGCGGATTGTTTTTTCACGAGCTACGATTGCTTTCAATAACGCCACGAGCGTAAAAGCGACATTGAACTCGATTCTGCGAGGCGCTGCGCGATCGCCAACGAAGGCTTGATCAATTCGTCGGATTATTTATTGCTTTCGACCTGATATCGCAATACGACCGCTCCACTCTCTTCTTTTCCAAACTTATCATCGTATAAAACAACATTGCTACGCTATCGTTAGCGAATGAAGCAGCTTATCCGTATTTATTTCGATATTGGTGGATCGATCAAATTTAGTCGTTCCACGCCTATCGCAATTTTAACGAATACGCAATTTCGGTTTTCGAAATAGTTGCTTCTTTTATTGCGTGAAATGCTAATAAAACTTCGATTTTCTAACGAAACACATTTGTATTCAATGAAGAAATTCCGCGATGTAAATTTTACATTAAAATAGACTGGCAAAGACAGTTGGACGTTCGAATATTCCCGCCGCGTGTCAACTTTGAAGATGGCGACGAAAAGATGTCTGCGCATGCTGCAGTCGTCTGCTACTTACCTCTCGTGAGGGAAAGAAATTCTTTTTCCTATCAAATAATGGACGTGGCAACGGTCTTTTAAATTATCGAACAGAATAAAGGTGAAAGGCAGTAAAATAACAACTCGAGATAAATTTAGGTATGGAATTTGGTTGTGCGATGAACGCGAAAACGTGCGATTGTCGAAAAACAATTTTTACACACACAACGCTACCTGATCCAATCGTACCATATTCACTTCGTATACATGTGTACATTACTTTTACATATGTGTCATTTATTGCAATGTAGTTTTTTATCTTTCTTCAACAATTAATGCTGAAGGCATCAATTTTAATCGTACAAATTAACATGTTCCAACAGTAAAATTTGCATGATTTAAGAAACAAGAACAGCTGTGAATCATCTGTTCAAGAAGACATTTCTTTGGCATTTGAATGACGTTTCGATCGTGTTGCAGCGACAGCATTTGCAGAGTGATTCACGAACCCGAGGTCAATTAGCATATAAAATAAGCGCTTGTAATCGTCTGTAATCGCCGACAAAACAAAGGGAAAATACAATTTGTAGAAACTGACCTGTCTCAAGTGCTGCCGAAATTTACACGAGTCATTGGATGTCAGTGATGTCTTCATACCTAAAAGCAGATCCCTGGTCAGTCTCTTGAAAAAATATCGCATACTCCTTTGACAGCGTGCCGCTACTAAACTTTTGAACCTTACTCTCGCATATGAGACAGGGTTCGAGCTAGGAAGAGATAGAGAGAGAAGGAAAATCATACTCAACTCTGCGGTTTCTACAGGAGCGGGGCACACACGTACAATTGTACGTGTATGTACATATAGGTAATACACTCGTTATGACTTATGACGTGTTTTGTCGTTTTCTAGATAACATAATATACTCCCACTTCCTCTAGTTAACTATCAATGGACAGAGTCTCTCATGCTCCATCGTTTCTCCTTGACTTTCAGGGTGCCTTACCACGTGTGAATGCTGTGATAAAAACGTCGTCTGCTAGCAAGTTATCAGCCTTAACAAAATGACCCATCTCGTGAAATTCATGAGCCACTCTTTGGCTTTAGCTCAGAAAGCCTTGCGAGCTCGAAAAGTTAAAAATTTAACTCACAAATGTAGCCTACAAAACATTTCTACAAATAGTCACCAGAGGCATCTTTTGGTAACAACTCATTTTCATGAAGATTATGGACATTCAAATGATCGCAATCAATGTAACATTACAATATTACTTGGCACAAGCTTTGCCTTCTTAGGATTTTTTGAGAAGAAAGAGGAGGAAGAAAATCCACTTATCACGACTCTCAAACGTTCGATATTATTGATACAGGTATGCCATGCCATAACTGTAAATCTAAACAACTGTGCAGTATTTCGGTTAATTTGAAAATTAAAAAAATCACTTAAACATTTACAAGTTCTTGAAATCACTCCAGTATTGCAATGAATTTTCATAATCATCCAAGAACTTGTTTTTATATAAATCTTATGATTATTTAGATTATTTAACAGAAGATACTCTTATTTATTTCAGAATTCAAAAGTAAAAGAAAAATAATAATTGTAACCATAATTTATTTAGAAAGGAGAGTTCAAGAAAGCAGAACAAATGTTGCATATAGCACTGAAACAAGCTCAAGACTTACAGAATGAAGATGGCATAACATATGTATATGATGTAATGGCTAATTTGGCATTCGAAGTTGGAGAGTATGAAAAAGCTGAGAAATTGTTCAAGGCTGTCATGCAAAGAGAATTAGCTAAAGGAACATCTCAAAATGATATGAAAATTGTTCACATGAGCTTAAAGATGGCAAAAATACTAGAGCAAAGAAGGCTATATGAGTAAATTTATCAAGCTTTTTTACAACTCGATATTTAATAGTGATTGTATATGTTGTGTTCTTGTTTTAGTAATGCAGAACTTGGCTACAAATATTGCCTAAAAATTCTACAAGAACATATTGATCATGAAACGGAAGACCTTGATATTATAGCATTATATGCAATGAATGTAGATTGGTATGCACACTTTTTGATGACCATGTCAAGATATACAGAAGCAATGAGATTTATGGAAAAAGCTTATGACTTATGTGTCAAACTCAATGGTGAAATTCATGAACAATCTGTTGTTCTTTTAAATGATTTAGGTTCTATATGTTTTATCAAAGGTAACTTGGACGAAGCAATCAACTTTTTGTCCAAAGCTGCAGAAATAGGTATTACTTATTTAAACCTACTATTAACTTTATTTTTGTAAAGTGACTATGTAAATGAATTATAAATTAATACTTTTAGGTGCAAATTTACCAGATATGGAAGACTTGTCGTCAATTCACATTAATCTGGGGAACGTTTACATTAAAAAAGGCTTGTTGGATGAAGCAAAGAAATGTTGTACAACAGGTTGGAGATTATCAAAAAGTAAAAAGAATTTGGAAACTTTAGAAGAAGCAAAAACGTGCCTTGATGAAGTTAATAAATTATTGACAAAGTGAAAAGCGACGATTATTTTCACAAATTATTTTATTATTATTATTTTTAGTTTTTCTTATTTTGAAAAACATGTACAAGAATAGATCAAATCTAGTCAGATAACACCTTAAACGTGTATTTTACAGCAACAAGTGGAAGTTTAAAGCTTAGCCTTCATTGTGTTCAAACCACAAATTTCAGTATTAATCAGATCTTTGTTATTAAACTGGGATAAACGTCTTTAAGTACAATTCACTATATACTGTACATATGTACATTGATTTCATGAATGCTTAGTTATTAAAGCTTTTATATGAAATGAAACTTAGTTGATGTTAAAAAAACGTGTTAAATCAATTGTAAATAAACAAAGTATTGTGAAAAATGGTTTGTCTTATTATTATAGTATCAATTCATTGGGTTGATGTGTTGTTTCAGTAAGAAAAATATTTTTAACAATTCTAATCACAAACATTGTACAAAATAGTGTAAACGTATTTAAATTAACAGTATAAACTCGTTTTCTAAATATTGTCTCATTCATTCATACTCTGCAACTAGTACCATCATGTACACACCGATAAGAAGAGCGATAATTTCTTTAACAGATTGCCAAAACTTAGTATCAGATAATAATTCAGGTATCACAGATACTGTGGCAATGTAAATAAAACCTCCTGCTGTGAAAGGTAAGATCCACCTTGTCGCAATATCACCTGTAAAATTCATAATGTTGTAACACTTAGCATTTTTTATGAGAAATAAATATTTTATTCTGAATAACTTTACCCATTCCACCAACGAGAAGGGAGATATATGTTCCTAACAAAGCACCAATTGCAGTTACCAGTTGCAGCATGATAGCCTGAAATCAAATTTGAAAATCAGAATTCAATTTTCATGTTAATCATTGTTTAACAATATTTATGTCATTACCTTCCATTTACTACAACCACTTTGTACCAATATTGCAAAGTCACCAATTTCATGCGGCACTTCATGTAACAATATAGTGAATGTTGTTACATATCCAACACTATTTCCAGCTAGATAACTTGCACCAATTGCTAGACCATCTGTAAAGTTATGCAAAAAGTCAGCAGCTAAATTCAAGTAGCCAGCAATTTTTATTTCATCGCTAGGTTTTTTAGTTTCCACTTGTTTATCTTTGTTCTTATCATTTTTATTCTTCTTATTATCTTTTCCTTTAGTAGCATCCTCATTCTCCTCGGATACATAATGATGATGCTGATGATGAACATGATCTCCTTTGATGAGTCGAACAGACTTTTCAACAAGTAGGAATGCAATTATACCACCTAATACACACAGTCCTACAGACATATTATGAGTGTGTCCCTGATTATGATTATGATCATGACTGTGAGGAAGAGCATGAGGAATCAAATGGAGAAATGCATCACCTAAGAGTCCACCTGATGCAAAACTCAACAATATTTTTAAAAAAGACTCATGCTCCTTGGTATTATCTAAAGGCACAAAAAACAACATAATAAATGGAGCAGCTGATATTAAAAGTGTTGATCCCATAGCTTGTATAAAGACATCTCCTTTGTGCTCTGCAAAATTAGATTCAGGCCTCCAATGAGGTTTTTCATTTTCTTCCGGATGTCCATGGTGATGGTGCTCATGGCTGTGACCATGCATGGATTCACCAGCTACAGGTTGATTGGCTTGTTTGGAGTACTTGAAACTCGGAGGCTCGTGATTGTGATCGTGATCATGATTGTGATGGTGACCGTGCGAATGACACGGAGCCGGTAGACTGAAAAAGATAAGCACAACAAAGACTGTGATAAAAATTGGCGTCAGCCAACCTTTGTTCCTTTTCCCTTCATTGTTGTTCTGCTTGGTATCGCTCATTTTTCACTGGCGCACGTCTTCAGCAACCTGTTGGAACAGAGTATAAAGAAAGGAAGAATTTACGAGACTGATAGCTTTTATCAATTATCACCTGAACTTACGTGCGTTATGTTTTTCGAGCGCTTCAAGTTCCACGTAACCTCTTTTAGTTTATTCTTATCAGTAAAATCCGCGCGCAACAGTCACGAAACTCCACAAACCATGCTATAGGAGCATAAATAGAGCATTGACTATGGATAATTAAAATGAGAATCGTATGAATGTAAAATAAGTATGATTTGTTTTCTTCGTTATTCATTTAAAACGACTTTCTATAACTTAATACCCATTTAAAGTTAAAAATACTAATTTAGTGAATAACTATCATACTATAATATGAATACTTACAACAAATTATTTGTCATTTGGTCTTAATTATTTTGAAACGATTTAAAAATACAATATTTATATCAATTTTTATTCCATAAGCTTACCGCCATTAAGTTACGATTTGAATTAAACCAAGTTTAATATTTGCGGATCAGTAGAACGTCTACTCGATTCTATTCTAATCATCTCTATCCATAGTGGATAGTGGGAATACCGGGAGTGGGGATAGAGTGATGGGAAACCAACTTCACTCCGTACGCAAATATGACAAAATAGTAGAGCAGACGATATTTATGTATACAATAAAATAATCATAATTATACGTTCAGATTGATTGTTAAGCAATAATAAAAAGAAATAAATATCTCAAATTATTAAAAAAGTGTAGTAAATATTGGTTTCATAATATGAAAATTTTGTTATTGCATTGAAAAACAAATAGTAAACTCAAGCTCAACAAGCTCAATATCAAACTGCAATTATTAAATAAGTTTATTTTTGATTATTTCAGAATGGATAATTTAAGGAAAAATTTAGATGCTTTATGATTCATTTGTTTTTTTATTTATTTTCAGATTTTAGGTTATGGTAAAAATAATGTAGAACAGATGAATATAATATTATAGCATATTTATTGATACACAAAATTGAAATAAATAAGCAGTTCTATTAATGATAAGAATTTGGTAGTTACTCTATCCATTATATAAATTAAATAGCATTTACACTGAGTATTTTAATATATGAACTAAAACATAACAAAAGATTATTTTATACTTGATCATCAGTTAAACAGAGGTTTTCATAGATAGACAAATAATTGTTATAATGTTATCCTGCTAATTTGTATGGACTGTAATGATACTTGAAATTTTAATGTTTAGTTAATAAAATTATACAATAGGAGAATGGCTTCTTACCAAATTTGTACTTTAAATGGTAACTGATTAATTTATATTTTTTGTTTAAGCTACCAAATTATGATTATGGCACACAAGTTGATTTATATATTTGTAATATGATTTTTAGTTCAGTTTTTTCATTTTTAGGAGAAAATGTGAAAGAACCTTTTTGTTTATTATGTAATGGGATATTCTTATGGCTACAGTTAATATTTCTGATGTTAGAAAGTAATTCTTGATAATAAAAGTGATGTGTAAAGATTGTTAAATATAGTATCACCATTTAATATGTGTTAAGCCTATGAAAATTGTAGATACAAGATTAATGTTTCAATTAAACAACTTTCTTTGATATAATTCTCAAATATTGAGGCTTTAAACTTTATGTATAATTAACATATTTTGAATGACTTGTTACCCAGATTATTCAATATAAAGTTTACTCAAAGATGATAAACAGAGTTTTAAATATCCTTTTGATCAAGGAGACCTCTTGATTTGTGTAAAATTAATTAATATATATAAAAATTTTTTTTGAAAAGTTTGATTCATCAAAATTTAGGGATGAAAGATGTGTTGAGAATATCAAAGAGCTGAATGAAACGTAAAAAATATTGTGAAGAAAATATGTGAAATATTTGACGAATAACATAAAAAAATACTTTATTGGTTGATATTTATTATAAAATTATACATTTTATGTAGATTTATATAACAAACATCCATTGAGAAAAACAAATTGAGAGATAGAGAATTGAATATAATTGATGTTTTGGAAAGCTATGATTTGAAACGTATGCATTCCAATTGGTTTCTGATTTATCAATAACAATAACAACATATATCAGTGATTTACTTCAAGTTATAAGTAGAAATAAAGAATATCTTACTTTACATTGTGATGATGCTTCGTTTCCAAAAGCTTAGTACTTTGCGAATTTCAGTATGTTTATTGTATTATTACAATCAAAATAAAAATAGCTTTTGCAAGAACGTAATACGCCAAAAAAATCTATTCTTACGTTATATTGACATAATTTTTCCACGAATAAAAGTTGCGCTAAAATGAGAATTGGTCAACACTCTAGCAGTGTTACCAAATATAAAACTCAAAACCTAACCAATCATTATACGGCATTCTGACATTGTGGGAAACTGGCAGTTGCAATCCACGTTCATTTAAGGAATGTTTGAAAATTTTGAACGCTGAATTTTACTTCGAAGACAGAGTTGTTATTCTATTTATTTAAGAATTCATATTAACAATTTCCAAACATAAGTGTGTTTTTACAAAAAGTATACAATCTATTTGGAGAAAATTCAAACTGGTGTGCCTCATGAAACTAGCAGAGACATGTCAATCCAACAAGAAGAATGCAAGATTTGAAAGGTTACATGTTTAAATAAAAAAATTAAACTCTTTCTGCATGCTTTTTTGCTGAAACTTTTCGTAAGCCTTACTAAAATGTCTCAAAAAAACGCTGATCAATCTTTAAGGCAGCATGGATTCTGCAATGCTATTTTTTCAAGCTCGCCAGTGGTTTTCAACAAAGAGAATAATCCTCCTTTCACAACTACGTGAGTTTCGCAAAATTCAACATTTCCTATTGCTAAGTAATGCTAGTTTCTTTTACGCCTTTGTATTAACTTTTATTATAATTGCTTTTGTAAAAATATGAGTTTGCGTCGAAATAATTTCTCTGCAGTATACTATCACAATGTCTGCAATAATGATGTCATATATTTCCAGTTGTCCAACTTCAAATTTAATGCGGAGTCCTTCATGTAAACAAAGTCTAATAAACTATTTGCCAGACAATAGGACTAATAATCACAATACAAAAAATGTAATGAAATCTGTTAGAACTCCAAAGTCATTGTCAACAAATCTTTTTCGCTCTCAATCAGAAACAATGTTGCAAAATGATGATCAGAATCTATTATCTTCATCAAAGTTCACATCAGAAGAGAAACTAAAAGTCATCAATAAAAATGCATCAAATCCTCGATTATCCGGGGACAAAACTCCAGTTACTCACTTTTGTACACCAAAACATACAGTCTCACGTTCAGGAGCTAGCAGTTCTGCGAAAAAACCTGCTAAACGATATTTTAGTGATAATACTTTATCTCAAACTCCAGAATGTTTTAATGTAGTACATTTAGGAACTCCTAGAACAAAAACTGAAAATGGAATTGGAGTGGAGGAGCAAACTTTATGTGATGGAGAGAATAGTAATTTAACAGTTGGTGTTAGAGTTAGACCTTTAAGTTTTAAGTGAGTTTTTAAATTTTTGAATGTTTATAAATAATTTCTTCTTCAGATGACTAATAAACTAATAAACTAATTTTTAGGGAGCAAAATGAGCCAAAGATTACTTCTATCATAGAAGTTAGTAGCCAGAATATCATAGTAGACTGTGATACATCACAACATTCTTTTATGTACGATCACTGTTTCATTTCGTACTCGGATCCTTTAGTTCCTGGGCATGCCAATCAAGAAACAGTATTTAACAGTATTGGTTTACCTTTGGTACATAATGCATTCGAGGGATATAATGTTTGTTTATTTGCATATGGTCAAACAGGATCTGGGAAAAGTTACAGTATGATGGGTGCAGAATCCAATCAAATAAATTCTTTTGAACTCAGTCCAGATGCTGGTATCATTCCGAGATTTTGTCATGAAGTTTTTTCATGCATTGCCTTAGATCATAATTCAAATATCAATGTTGAAATAAGTTATTTTGAAATTTATAATGAAAAAATTCATGATCTTCTGATAAGTAATACCAGTAATACAAAACGAGCTCCTCTAAAAGTACGTGAACATCCGGTATTTGGGCCGTATATTGTAGATTTAAGTCAACATACTGTACAAAATTTTGAAGATTTGAAGGTAAATTGATAATGGCCTCCAATTGTACTTATTGCAAATCTATAGATGAATTAATTAAAAATATCGCTTTTTAGACATGGTTAAAAGTCGGCAATTCACAAAGGGCAACTGCAGCAACAGGTATGAATGAAAAAAGTTCCAGGTCACATAGTATTTTCAGTATAATTCTTACCCAAACACAATCAAAATTATCAACAAACAAAAAGCCAGAAGATGCTAGTCGAAGAAGTAAAATAAATTTAGTGGATCTTGCTGGAAGTGAAAGACTGAGTAACACTTGTGCCAGTGGTGATAGATTAAGAGTAAGACCTTGAGTTCATTAAAAAAGAAACTTTATTTTCTATTCCTTGTATTGAAAGAATGCGGTAATTTTTCCAGGAAGGAGTGTCTATAAATAAATCGCTTCTTACATTGGGAAAAGTTATAGGATCTCTTGCTGAGAGCACAAACGAACGAAAACGTAGTTTTGTTCCATATAGAGAGTCAGTCTTAACATGGCTTTTGAAAGTAAGTAATTTTAATTTCACATATAATTATTGATCATCAATATAGTACATGAAATATCATGTATTTGACTGTGAAGCTTAAAAAGCATATCTGTATTAAGTTGGTCACAGTTAAAAATAGACGTTATTTAGAAGGCGCTTGTATTTTTAATTAGTGCATCATGTCGGTGTAGTACGTGAAGAGAGGAGCACGAATGTAGATTTTCTTGGTAGAACATTTGCACTCCGATCCACATTTCTTGCACTTGTCGCCGCACTTACAGCAAACGTTTCCACATGACTTTGGTTTGTCATTGCTTCGCGCTACAACGCAAATTTGAACGATTATAATAACTATCACGACTGATATTACCGACTGTTGAAGCTTACATGCACATATGATTTTTCAAAACTTACCACTTTTTTCCTCAACATTGTATTTCTTTTTTATTGCCTTCCACACCATTCTTACTTCTTAGATCAGACTTTATGAATTGTTGAAATTCTATGATTCTCAGTAGCGTAGTTGCGAAAGAAGTCTTGAACTGACTTGTTATCTCTTTCAAGTTTCGTATCAAACTCCTGTGGCAGGATATTAGGACGTCACTCTTATACAAGTTTGCGCGAACTGAGCGAACTGGCACTGAACGTACTCGTTCTTTCTATAAGCTCAACGCATGCGTTGCGGTTTCGAGAATATTCCATATCTCGAAGATGCAACGACTTTTCTACTCAAAATTGCAATAGATAAATCAGAAATCTGGGTAACCTGGTACAAATTGTTACACTAACATCAATTTTACAATCATTAAAGTTTTTTTTTATACAATACTTATAGAAGTTTTGATTTTGCCTCGATGGTGCCGTGTGCAACTCGCGCATGCGCTTACAAATTGTTTTTCTTTAAAGGCCATTGCTGACAGGAAACTTGAAAGACTACGGTGAAACCAGCACATTTCTTATTGTGGCATATCAATGTTGGCTCACTGCCTTTTCAGATATGTCTAATCAAATCAAGTCAAAAAGCGGTCTCGTTCATTTACATTCTGCGTGCTTCATTAAAATTATTATTTTGACTTACATATCTCGTCCGTGACACTCAAATCAATTTCTAATATAGTTTGATAGAATAATTTTTTATACCGATGGAAAATGTAAAATACTAAGTCGCGGGAAAGGAAAATAAGTAATATCTCATTAGCTTATTTGTATTGTTAGTTAATTTATTTAATGGAATAACAACCGGTTTATATAAATACATTACAAGTTCAAATAACGTTTCTTATTTCGCTCTTATGTATTAAATTTTCATTTATAGAAAGGTGATAAATAATGAATCAAAATATTTTAAAATTCTTAAAAAATAACGTATAAAACTATTTGGCATTTGCAGATGGATTTGTTACATGCAAATTAAACAGTAGGAAAATTAACTTTACACACGTCGTTCATTGAACGTCAATTTATATTCATTTGTCGATCAAACCCATCTACAAATTTACAAAAATGAAATGCCTAAGTTTTTTTTTAATAAATTTAGGCAGTACTAATGTTACGTTTATATATATATATATATTTTCTTCTTAAATCGAACTACTCGAGTCGGTCTAAATTGAACAGTAAGTTAAGAAAAAACGTGTTCTTGGTTTTTTTTTCCTGTTGCTCTGACGGTTCGGATTGAGACAAAAAGTACTTGAACTCTGAGCATCAAAATTCGCAATAACAAAAAATAGCACAAATTTAGTCTTGCTATTCGACAAATCAATAGGTAACGATCTCCATCGAAATGGGAAAATAGCCAGCGAAAATAAATCACGGAAAAAAGAAGCGCGAACGACGGCCTTAAAGGCTCGTATTTTTATATACAAATAAATAGATCAGAAAGTCTCATACTCAAATTTGTATCTGAATTGTAAAAATTCAAGTACTTGACGCCTAGTTTACGTGCATGCGTAGCATTCTAGAAAAAGAAGCAGCATCGCGCACAATCAGTCTTACGTGGTGAAATGAAACGAAGGTGCCCCGAGTTGTCTATATGTAAGGATCGGAGCGACTATACATACAATTGGTGGATCGGAAAGGAGGAAAGGAGCAGCGGCAAATCGAGCCGAGCGTGAATAATTGTGATGGTGATTTGGCACGATCTCCTTGAATTCCTTGGTTTGCGCGCACGTGTGCAAAATGAAAAAGTAGCCGACTGGTTTAGTCATCCTGAGCAGCCGTCGTATCGCAGCAGGAAAGGACGCCAAACACGGATTTGACTTTTTACGCTCTCGCTCTCTCGAGTCAATACCCGGAGCAGAGCGAGGGCATTGTTCTCACCGAAGGCGATTGCTGCGCTCGCGTGACGTTCTCCGATCGATTTCTCGTTGGGCTCCTCTTCCTTTGGCAGAACACATCGGGTGCAGGTCGCGTGTAGCCTCATCTCTCTCCTCTCTCTCTCTCTCTCTCTCTCTCTCGCTCGCCCGCCCTCGCCCTCGCCCTCGCCTCACTTCTTGTCGCTCTTGGAGTCGGACTTGTCCAGCTGCGGCTGCTCGGCAGCGTCCTCCTCCTCGGTCTCCTCGCAAATCTCGCTGCAAGAGTTGTTGCGCGACTTGCCGCGAATGTAGGCGGCGAGGCTGCGTCGCTTATTTTCCTTGCATAGGTGGCAGGAGTCTTTGTTCGAGGAGACGTGCAGCTGCTGCTGCTTCTGCTGCTGCTGGCGATGGTGATGGTAGGACGCTGTTTTACCTGCAATTCACGGAATAACATCCTACTTCATTGCTATTTTCCTTACGTAATTTGTTGATTTCGGATGTTTTTGCGGCCGCTAACGCTTTACGGCGGGCGTTAACGAGCCTCGCGCTGTTTGCAAACGCAGCTAACCGGAGTACGCGAGTTTTATCGGTCGCGACCATCAGCGATTTCCGCCGCGAGCGTCAGGAGGAAAATTGTTGCTCCGTTGCGCACGTTTTCTCGTGCTGTATCGGATCGGTTCGCGCGCAATCGATCATCCACGATAGCTACTTGCTGCGCGGCTCAAGGCTCGATACGCGAATATTGATCGAACGGCTGTAGGATAAGGCATAAAGAGCGCGCTATCGGATTAATGGGACTAGGGTCAGCTGGCAAAATCGGCAGTGGCGCGAGATAAACTCGGAAAAAGACGCGTCGGCGAACGGTGACGCAAGTGCACCGTCGGGGAAAGTGCGACAGCCCCGGCGTCGAGGACGATCGTTTGGCGAAAGCGAGCCGTGGTCCCGATTGGCGTGCACGGGGCCGAGCCGCGAGAAGGAGCGCGCCGAATCGTTATCTCGAGCACCAGGCGGCTCTGCGCAGTACGTTTATTTATAGCCGGGGATGCGGCGAAGCCGTGGGGCCCCGAAATACGCGCGGAACATTGGCTGCGGAGCAGGCGACAGAAGTGCAGCGGCGCGACGGGCAAACAGCGGATTCGCCGGCGCTCCGACCTCGTTTCTGCCTCCGCCTGCGTCGCGCCTCGTTGCGTAATCTCGCGACCGTCGTTTCGCCGCACGGCTCGTCCGATTGGCGCTCCCGCGAGCTGGCGTCTTCGAGCCGAAACGCTACGGTCGACTCGTCGTCCACGGAGCCCGGTAAAAGCGCACTCGCCGTCGCGTTCGCGCGATCGTGCGTCGTCTTCAAAGCGACGAGTGAACGGAGACGGCAGCGCGCGCGAACCGGACGAAAATAGCCGGCCGCGCGCAATCGTTGAACTCGCTCGACAGTGCGCGAGCACTGCGTCGCCTGAGCGAAACCGCGCGCGTCCTTGCGAGCGCAGGTACGCGGGAAAGGCCCGCGGGGCAGTGGCGAGCCGATTGGCCTGCTAAAAATAGCAGCCGGGCGGCGCTCGCAGCGCGACGGCTCGGCCGATTTCGCTGGACGCCCGGCCGCGCGCGCAGTCGACGGAAGTGGCCTGACACGGCCGCGCATGGCGCTCTCGGGGCACCGGAGCTGCGTTTCCCGTGCGGCGGTCCACGCCCGACGAGCTGGGTCTTCCGCGCAGCCTCCCGGCACCGAGGGCTCCGCGACGCGTCGCGCGTCTCGCGAGCACTCGCCACGGCCGGCGACCGTCGCTCACCTTCGTCGAAGTAGTTCCGGTTCCAGGGCTGCTCGTAGTCCCGGTACTGCGGGCTGCGGAACGAGCCAAAGGTCAGCACCTCGGGAATGTAAACAAGATCCATCTCCGCTGGCCAACTCCGCTGCGGCAATGGCTGTTGCGAGCGCGGCTGTGCGACGGCGCCGGGCCTGGGTCGCGCCTGGGCCGGCGACTCGTGTTCCCCCAAGATCAGACGATTGCAGTGGTGTCTCGCTTGATCCTGCACCGGCGCAGCATTCTCCGCGCGAACTCTTCGGCTGGACTCGCAGTCGGCAGTTCGGTGGCAGGGTGCGTCGCTTTCGCCTCGAGCGCCAGTGCGTACGCACCGAAGGGAAATCAAACGGAATGCAGAAGCGTACAAACGGAGCGCGGACACTTGCTCGTCGCTTCCTCGGCGCCAACTGACTGACGAACTGGCGCGCTCGAGCGCACATATAGCGCGCCTTGCCCGGCGCGCTCTGCCTCTCCGCTGGCTCTACCCCCACCGGCGCAGCCTGCCCCGCCGTCGCTGCTCGCCGATGTCTACGTGCCGTTCGACGCGCGCCACCACCCTCTCGCTTATCTACCTTGGGCTTTCCCTTCTCTTCTTCGCCTCTTTCCTTTTTTCGTTTTGGCACTTGCTACGCTTCGCCCGTCTCGGACGATGCGTCGCATCTTATCTGTGTCGCCGACGCGCGCCTTGTACCTGCTCGAGCTCGTTAGCCGACGATAAGCCGATAAATTGGCCGACGACGTGGTTCGTCGCTTTTTGCGCAGCTCGTCGTTCGAGCCCCGCGGACCTTGTCTCTCGTGCTCCGCCGAGCGCTGTCGCGTCCGCTCGGCACTGCTGTTCGCAGCCGTTTTCGGGTTTTCGGGGCAGAAATCTCCCGAATATCGCGGCGATAAGGGCGCGCCAATGTCGCGACTTATCGGAATCAGCCGTGCCCCGTTCTGAAAGCTCCGTCCGCCGCGCGAATCGTCGGTCGATAAAGCCCGCTGTGCGCGGGGTACGCGGCGACGTGCACTTGGCTCGGAACACGAGAGCATTCGATGGGATTGCTTCATCAAATGTATTTTCAGCGAGGCAAGTGTATTATTAGCGCAGTCGCGCGCAAACAACGCGCGCGCTCACGCGAGAGAGAGAGAGAGGGAGAGAGAGGCGCGGCTCGTCGATCGTGTTTGCGAAAAATTGGCAGCGTTGATCGAGACGCTCGTTCGTGCGCCGTGGCTCGAGCGAAGCATCGGACGTCCGAGGTTCTAGTCGTCGACTGCGATTAACGTCCCATCTTAAACAAACCACGTGCTATTTCGGCGCCGGTAACACGTACCTCGGCGGACGCTGCTGCAACGCGGCATCTTCGTTGTTTTTCTACGTCGTCGTCGTCGTCGTCGTCGTCGTCGTCGTGCGACCGCGACTGTTTATGCAATTCCGATTCGCCACGAGACGCGAGTATCTCGCTTATTTCGACGAGCTTTATTGTTATTTAGCTTTGTTACCTTGTCGGACATTGTTAACAAACCACTGTGTGTGCAGGATTAAAGGCGCTCAGAGTGGCTTTGACAAATAATCTCGTAACGCGAGAGGTCGTATTGCCGCATTTAATGACTTATAACTTTGTTCATTACTCCTCGTCCTTTTATTTTCTTTTTCCTTCGTTTTATTTATTCATTTATTTATTTATTTTTGCAGTAAAATTTTTTTTCCGAGAGCTATTAATCGCGCGAAAAACGAATTCCTATTTCGTAGTTACGAAGCGTTGCTGCCTTTGAAAATTATTCGTCTAAGACCGCGAAATTGCCAACAATCGACAATGAAGATACATTCGTTTGTAAGGCACTCGAATGCTAATTATCGATGTATCGTAAATTTCAAGCAATTTTCATAATTACACAAGTGATAAAAAATAATTTCTTGCGTCAAAATGTACGAAAGTAAATCTTCCGCGTGAAAGAACGTTTCGACCGACGTGATCATCGCGAGATCAGTGATATTTCGCGTAAACGTTAAGGCTCAGATTTAGAAACTTGCTGAATTGCCGTTTCTAAAAATAGCCACGAAGCCTGTCTAGAAAGGACGGATGGGGAAAAAGAAAAAGAAAATAAGCGAACGCGCGCGTGCGCGAGCAGACTTCCGAGTGGCTTAAGGCTGAATAATGACGGCGTGGCGGAAACCGGTTTCGCAAAACACACGCGCGCGCATGCATGGCCTCTCCCATTCCCAACGAGGGCGCAGCTGTATTGCAGATAACGATAAGAGCCGCCTGTGCTGCACATCGCCACGATAAGGCTTCGCACATGAGTTTTTCTCGCGGGCAGTGCCGAGCTCCGCCAGGGTTTCCATTTCAAACCTGCCGTGCCAAGCCCCTCGCGACGAGCGACGTAGGTAGCGATCATTCATGTCGGCCACTTGGGAATTTCGTCTACATATCGCTATCCCTCGCTGTCGACTCATTTGTTGTCGGCGCGAAACTCGCCGTCGTCCGCGGCTCGTGCTCGAAGCTTATTTTATTCGACGCGAAGCTTGGTTCTCTGCTGATCCTGTCGCCTTCGCGTCCTTCTGTTTTTCGCGCTCTAACCTCCAAATCGCAACTTCGGCGCTTGTTCCCGGCACTCGCGCGAAAAAGTACAGTCCTCGGGTGGGCGAAGGCTTTCCGTCGAGATTCGTCAGCAGCGGGTTTGGGCTCGTGCCCCAAAACCTCTCGCGTCGTCGAGAATGCCTTTCGCGCACCGGTTAGGAAATGTACTGTTTTGCCACGCCGGTCGATAACGCGCTCGTTATTGTCGACGATATCCGCGAGCGGAGAGTTTCGTTGTTTTTATTACGTCGAGTCAATCGACGAGAATTGCCTTGACGGGGCACGAACAAGCGGCGTAAGCGAGACGCGAGTCGCTCGTTCGCAGAGAACGAGCATGGCATTTCGGCTCTCGCGCGCGTACCTGCGGCTCACTTATCTGGAAACTCAATGTTCCTTGGTGTATTTTTCACACCTTTGCGTATTTGAGCATTCCACGATTGATGCGATAAAAAAAAAAGAAATTGTTAGATACGGCACGGTTGTTTATCTGGTAAATGCTCGATTTTCCGTCACCTTCAACTCGCCCGAACGAACGCAATTGCTGAATATTTTTGCCGCGTCAACATTGAGCAGCCAAGCACAGCAATGCTTTTTCTCTGTTTTTATTTTTTACTCTGTCTGGTTCTAAAATTAGCGCAATCGAAAAAGTTTAGTTACACTCGTATTTCAATAATTCCAGCATCGATAATTCGATTTTTACGTACCTAGGATCGTATAAAGGAAGAGCTAATTCTTATAGTGCATTAGACTGATGCTGCCTGTTGTCCACGTCGTGACGTCACAGAATTATTAAACTCAGGCATGTCGCTCAATGTACCCACTTATGCGAGACTTTAATGAAGGGCCGACCCAAGATGCAAGAAAAAGGTAGATAGTCAAAGTAATTGTATTGTCCTGCCTGGCGTCGTTCAATACCTGGCACCTATTTGCAGACAAAGAAAATGCAGTAAAACTATCGCTTTGTTTATAATAGTATACGAGGACGACTTGTCTGCACAGCGAATTCGACAAATCTGTCTGGGAATTTCCGAACGGAACTATTCTTATAATAACGCCTTTTCAATAATAAATCATAGATCTTGGACATTTTGACTTGGCCGTCAATTACAATGCGAGCTACGCAAGTCAATTTTCATCAATTGCAATAGGCACTTCGATAGTTTTATCAGAGGACTTGTTGCAAACAAAAACCAGACAGGTGTACTTCCAAGGCGGTCCCGTTTCATTATTGACTTGACTAAAGCATATTTTTGCATATTTTTACAAGTTGCAAAAAAAAAATGAATTCGAAGTCGGCTTACTTTTTTTTAATAATTTTGTATCTATTCAAATTATACAAATATTTTTCCAACTCTTTTTTTCTTTTTATTAAAGAGGAAGCATTGCTCTTGCATTCTTTGAAAATAGTGAGCTGCAAGTTTCGTGTTTTCGTTATTATATGCTTGAATTTCGGTTTTTTCGATAGACTTCAGGTCATACATGCGATTGGAGGAGAGGTTTTCATTAATATTCACAGGGAGACGACAAAGTCATATTTTTATGACGTCCATACATAGGGATGTATATATGTATGCGCTTTGACAATCGGCGTGACTTCTCTACTCGATGGATTTTGATGAATCTTTGTTACCTTATTGTCACAATGAGAGAAAGAAGCGAACTTATTTTATTTTCGTGCAGCAAGGTCGTGCAAAATTCTTCAGCATTGACAGCTATTCATAGAATCATTCCCTCGCGTACATTCCCTCGTTACAATTTTCATATTGCGGAACTTGAGCATGCGAAAAATCTTATGCAGCGTAGAAAATGTCACGAAGCATCTTATTATTTATTGAGTATACGCGAACTATCGCTCAACATGCCCAATAAGTTAGCTTCATTAGGTAACGATGCTTACAAGTGTTGATTTATATGAATAATCCTTTACTTATAGCTATCAATACTGTCATGCGTATTATGAGGTTATATGAGGTTTTAACGAGCACAAAATATTCATAATTAAATAGTCGGGCTACTCATCTGGAAGTTATTTTAATGAAAATCGAAGGTCTGTGGTAGCAAACAGGCTTGAAACGTCGTACGTCGTAATTTGCCAATTGAGGAATGTTGAAGTGCAGCCACATGAAATTTTTGCATTGTTTGCAGCGCAATTATCTGTCATGAATTATAATTCTGAGATGCCATCAGCTGTTGAAACAGCGGTATGAACGCTAATTAATAATTTTATACGTAATGACTGTAGGCACGTAAAATTCGATTCCTAAAATTTTGATAAAAGAAGATTTGTTTTGGCTTGCATGTATATTTTCGAGATCCTCGAGAAAACACATCGATGAAGTAGCTAATAGTTGATTAAATAATTTTATGTCGGTTGATCCGAAGTTTTCTGTCGATTATTTTTATTAGTGCCGTTATATATTTGAACTGCATTTTGTCAAATAAACATAGATAAACAAGCACTACGTGCTATCTCTAAGGAAACATTCCGCCAGTGCAGCCGGCAGCGTTTGTTGCGTTAATTAATTGAACAAAACAAAGATCTTGCCATTTGTCGAAAAGCCTTGACTGCAATAAAAGCTTTACTCATCGCACAACACAGCGCCAGAAAATCCAAGTCAAGATTGAAAGGGCGAGCTACGCGACCACACGCACGCTCATTTAGAAATGCTACAGCAACGTTGGATGCACATCCGAACGCTTGACAAAATAGTTTTTGATCTTACGCTGTACCGCGTACATTATATAGGTATTATGTTAATCCACAAAGGCCGTCGATTAAGCTTATGTAACCAACGAGGAGGTGTATTTTTTTTCAATCACTCGCGCGGTTTTTTTCTGTTTTTTTTTTTTTCGTTTTTTTCCGCTTGACAACAGTGAAGAAGCAATCTCGCGCGCAATTTGAATTGCTACGGAAACGTTGTTTCCGCATTCTCGCTGTTCACTTGATCGGATCAGATTGGGATAACATACATGGAAGTTGCTTTACAATATAGCATATCTGATGTTGCTTTGAAATATATACAAATAGTGACAAGCGCCACGCGCATATCTTACCACTGCATTTGACATCCTTTCATTTAATTAAACGATTATAATGTTAATTAAGCTAAATGGAAATAACGACAAAAAAAAAGAAATGCTTATTTTCTTGCGATTATTTGACGTTTATTTACTGCAAAAATATAATTCTATCAGAGTAGATTTAGCGATACGGGTATGTTCTAGATCGGCACACATTGTTTTGAAATTGATAAGCGTGATGCATGATAGTGAATTGTCTACACGGCTTATGTAAAAAAGTCCCCCATTCCTGGATGTAAAGCACATAAAACATTAGATAACAATAGTAGGAATCCAATTGGTACGCAGCTCTGGAAACGTGTTAATCAACGTGCTCATCCATCATCAGAAGCTTTCTTTTTTTCAAACAAACACATTGTCAGCACGTCGCGCGGAAAGTGCGACTTCGTTACAAGATCGGCGAAATTAGTGCGCCTAAATTTGCGCTATCCACAGTTTGTCTCGACGAAAGCCGTACCTAACAGGTTCGCGAGAAAGAGATTGACGTCCGAGCGGAGCGAGGTTGCAAAGGCACACGGACGGTAGTTTTCTAAGCAACGCGTGGAAAGCGCGAATTTTAGCGCAGGCTCAAGCCTCACGCGAGACAAGAATGTACTTTCTCGCACAGAGTGTGTGATTAAGTTTATCGTCAAGGCCTGCAGATTGAAATCCCATGAACACTCGGGTTCTCCTTTAATTGCAAGGATATAAGTCAATTCATTTGCGCATGATTGCAATCAATGATAAAAGAAAAGTGCAATAAAACGTCGTGGATTAACGGGTCCGATAATGTCACCGTTGCAATTTTTGTTATGCGATATGCCGATTGATCAATCGAGCCACTCCAAGACAAACGAAATCCCATATATGCCTATCTACACTTTGGCCAAAGCGACTCAAGAATGTCAAGTGTTGAGACAGCCCAAGCTTTGGTTATACTCTAGTTTTTATTATACTCGAGGCATTAATTGTCAACAAAAGTTACTCAGCAAAATCGTTCGCGCTTGCAGGAAAGTCTGGGCGGAAATTCGAGGACTGCGATGTTGGGCACGGTTTCCCCGGCGAACATCCATCTGGAAGAAACTCTGGCTACCCTGCGCTACGCTTGCCAGGCCCGGGCGATCGTGAATAGAGTGCGAATTAACGAAGATCCTCACGATAAGCTGATAAGGTGAGAGTGTTATTTATTTTGCTCACTTGTTTGATAATATTGATTGGATCTCCCGAGCGAATTTCATAAACGTCATTTAGAATCGTATCAACTGGTTATAAAATCCGAAAAATCACGGTCACAATGTTATTTCAAGATTATATTATGATTGGTAAAACCCAACCCACTATATATAAAGTTTGCCCAACCACTATATGACGTTCTCCGCAGTTAGCTGGTCGACGCAATATTTTTTGTTCGCGAACAATCTGTTGATAAACGAAGACTAAGGAAAGGTTTTGAAATACGATCGAGAACACGATTAAGCGATATGATGCTATTTATGCTTATTTGCTTACTAATTGATGATGTTCTCACGACAGACAATTGAAAGCCGAAGTTCAGCGACTGCGTGGTATGCGAGATGGTTACGAGAAGCGTCTGGGAATGACGCCTCGAAATCTCTTGGACGCGATTGACAACGCGTCCGACACTACGGAGGAAGTCGTGAGCAAACAAAAGGAAATCGATCAGTTGAAAGATCAGTTGAAGAAAATGGAAGAGCAATTGTTTGTCTCGCAAAAGTAAGTGCGCCGACTTGCGATCGATGGCGAGCGGGTTGCAAAAATCAGGCACCAGGTGCACATTGCTGCGATTCAATGTACGCCATTCAGCTGCGATTCGTGACAAAGGTTCTTTCAGTCTTGTCCATTATCAGCGAACTTGGCATTGTTATACTTCTGCGCGCTGGCCGATTCCGAATGGCGAAACTTTCCTTTCTTCGCGACTGGCTTTTGTTTCAAGCGCTATGTAATAACGCATAATCTGCGCGCAATAACCTTTACTGTTAGAGCGCCTTTGCATAATTTTTTATTGCTCGGGTGTTTGCGCTTGAAACAATCAGCTAATTGCACGAAATAAAGCAAACGAGCGAGGAAGTGAAATGCATACTGTTATCTTGCCGACAAACGAAAACAATCCACTCCGTTATTCAGACAGACGGCCGCGAAGTTTGCTTTAACCCGTCTAAATGTTTCCATGGTCCTGACAGACTAACACCACAAGATAACGTGTGACAGTAAAATTCCGACGGAAACGCCGAGGTGAAAACTGCGTCGACTCCTGACTAATGACGCAGCCGTACTTTCCAGGTCGTTCGAGGAGAAGCTGCGCGAGGCCCAGCAGAAGAAGAACAGCGAGCTGGCCTACCTCCGCCGCTGCGGTATCGCCGTCGAGCTGGACGTTCGAGAAAAGCCAAAGCAGCCTTGCTTGGTCAATCTCGCGGCGGATCCGATGCTATCCGGCACTCTCTTGTATCTCGTTCCCCCAGGTCGCGTGCGGATCGGTCGAGCGGCTAAGCCCGGCACGCCGTCCAGCAGACTCGATATTGTACTCAACGGGCCACTCATTAAGAGGCTTCACTGGTTAGTCGGCGTCGGTGCATGCTTGTTGTGCTTCTTTTATTTTTACTTTCATTTTCTCGTTCATCTAGTCGTCATCGGCACCTCGTGGAGGTGAAGGCACGTGGCGTCAGATTTTTGGATGATCGCTTTTTTTTTATCTCGCTGGCACTGATTGGCTCGCAATTATTATGAGGTTATATTGGCAAATTGCGGGCTATAATGGCTAATCTATCGAAGTAAAAAGAATATCAAAATGCTGCTGAAGCTTTAACATTCATTTCCGCTTGATTTTAAACTAATCGGCTATCTTCGTACAACTTTATAGATATATAGCACCGTGACGTAGTCGGCTGCCTTATTACTTTATCGCGTTGACGCATTTACTCCCCATTTTTCTTTTTACTTCGAGTCATAACAATTTACTTATTACTCCGCACCGCTATTTGCATCATTATACTTTCGCACTTGAGGTCTGTTAGGTTTTTATTACCGATTTGGCTCTGACGTACTGTCCTCATTATATAGTTTTCATTAATAGATTTGCATGCATCATACTACAATTAACAGCATACAGAAGCACTTTTCAATTTGAATTGACAAAAAAAAAAGAAGTTTAATTCCCATTCAAGTATGAAAATAATATTTTCGCCCACTTCATACTATCGTTATTTGCGTTATCTTGTTATTAATGTTGAACGCGTTACGCAGTCACTTAAGTATTTGTAAAAATAAAAATTTTTAAATTGATTCTTATCAAGACATTTTTATAGCAGAGTCTATCTTTAAATTATATTTATCATCTATTTTTCTAATTTATTGAGTGCAAACTGATGCCGTGAAATTGTTACATCTCTATTTTACTACGCATTCATTTATTTTTTTGCATTAAAAATTGGTTTTTTAACATTTGATTAATAATTTTCATGGTGTACCTTTACTACCCGATAATAATTGCCCTTTTGGCAATTACTTTCATTCAACTTAACCTACATATATTTTGTTTAAATAACAGCACCATCGAAAATAATCATGGAAAACTAACATTCATGCCAGAGAAAGAAGGAGAGAACTTTGTTAATGGAGAGGTAAAGACATTGATAGCGTTTCAATGTAATTAGTATCAATTTATTGACCTGAGAAAGCATGTAATACTAAAATTTATTTTATAGCTGGTTCGAGGAAAAGTGCGATTGAAACACGGCGACCGATTAGTTATCGGAGGTAACCATTACTTTAAAGTTTGCAATCCTCAAGATGATGTAGACGCTGATCCTATGACCGTTCAACCAATAGATTTTGATTATGCTCACCAGGAAGTACTTCGAATTCAAGAAGAAAAGTAATAATAATTTTAAAATATGAAATGCATGTAAATAACCTGATACTCGTGCTCATTGCTACTGCATTTTTTACTTTAGGTTGAGAGCAGAGTTGGAGGAGTCAAAACGAAAAGCAATGAAAGAACTGGAAAATGCGAAAAAAGAAGTTGAAATGCAATTGGACTCCCAAAAGTCTACCTACGAGTCGAAGATAAAACAATTAGATTACAATCTAGAGAAGCACAAGTTAGCTTTGGAAGAGACGAATCGCAAAAAGAAAGAACTCGAGCGTGAAAATGAGTTACTTGCTAGCGAAATTGAAACGAATAATAAAATCAGAAGCTTGGAAGTTGAAGGTTCTGGTATTAACATCGCACCATATAAATCGAATTTCCTTAAAGAACTCGAAGAAATACTCAACGAAACAACTGCGGACGTAGAAACAGCTTTGTCTGTTCAAACAAGTATCGAAGCTATGAAGGTCGGTGGTGTTAGTCTTCACGAGATACAATTGTTGGTTAGAGAGGCCACAGAGAGATGCAGAGACGTTGGCGTAAATTATGTAAGTTTTGATAAAATTTTATCACAACAATGTGATTGATTCAATATACTTTTTAAATATTATTTTGCAGGAATTTCATCAACAGCAGATAGTCAAAGACAAGTACTTACAACCAGTAATACGTGTTCGAGATAAAGATAACATGCTCGAAAGCTTCTGGGAACCTATGCACTTTTTGGACTGGATCCATCGGTTGAGGGATCATGAGCTTGAACACTCCATTAAGGAATTGCAGGATTCCGAGGATAAATGGCAATCATTCGAGGAGAGCGATATAGTTTCAGATTCTCTGTATAACAGCCGAATATCTGTAAACATGACTCCCGTCAAGAAACAGTTAAACGAAAGCTTAAGCCACATGACCCTAGATGCGTCTTTTCTTGATGTTTCCGTAACCGATCAGACCACCGAGTCGGTTATACAAAAGCGTCGAGATGATATTAACCAATGCTTAATTCAGATAGAGATCGCTTCAAAGACACTTCAAGGACTCTGCCAGCAATACGAACCCCGAGATGTGAGCTGTAAAGTGACGGAGACGCTTCATAAGGTGAACGCGATAATGAAAGACCTAAAAGTTGTCTTGAACGAAAAGCATGCAGTTGAGAATAGTGTAGATGCTGAAAGCGTTATAATTGATGTCAGCAACCGCAATAGCATAACCAGTGAAAATTCTGAAATTGATAAGACAGCTCAGCCCTTCGATCGAGTTAAAAAGTATTTCACAAATGACGCCACATCTACCAAGTCTAATCTACGGAATGCGTGTCCGTTTTTTAAGAAAGATAACTCATCAAGGTGTGTTCGATTTAACGTTCAATGATAGTTGATTATGGGATATCCATAAAACTTTTATTTCTCGATTGCAGATATAAAAAGTAAGAAGTTTAATCTTCTATAGGATTTGCCGCACGTGACATTTATCAGATTATAAAGATAAAAAGATATTATTTTGTTCAAGTTAGATTTTAAGAATTTTTACACTGAGTATCAGATCTGACTATTACCATCAGATTTTAGTACGTTATTATTATTGCTTACTTTTAATAATTTTACACTTCGATTCTTAGCTAAGCTATTTAAAATTTGTGTTGATTGCAATATCTTGTTTGTATGCAAAATAATACAAATTATAATTATTTCGTATAATTATATATGAAAATAGAAGTTTTATATGTAACATAAAAACGAGCTTCAATAAGAAACATAAAATATTAAAATGCATGTGTATGTGTGGTATTTTATACAAACGACTTATTGAACAATAAAGGAATTTATTACAAAAATCCAAGGTTTTAGACCTTTATACAATGAGTAAAAAAATTGATTCCAAAATTTAAGCACAAATGTAAGATTGATTTTGTCGAATATACTACTTATTGATTTTTATTGCGTAAAATGTAAAGATTCATTTTACAAAATTAGTGAGTATGCTGAATCAATCAAAATAATCTTCAATGTCTATATCTGGGTTCAGCAAATCCTCACCATACATACTTATATCTAACTGATTTAATATTAAATTTTCACACATTTCCTCTAAGTCTGTTTCACCAATAAGAACTGCGCCTTGCATTTTTCCATTCTTGACTACAAGTTTGACATATTCTTGTCCTTTGGTGACTCTTAATAAAATCTCATAATCTTTTTCTAACTTCTGTCCATTGTACAAACCGAGTAACACAACTTTATAGCCAAAAAACTTGGTGACATGCGTAAACAGCTCAAAACAAAAGTCTTGGAAAAATTCCTCCTTCTTTAATGTAGAAACCATGCTTTTTGCGGCATATTTGCCCATTTGATGAGCTTGCGTCCAAAGTCTCATTTGAAACCAACGCGGAGCGATTTCCCATCCAACAGAACACACATCTCCAGCAGCAAAGATTTCTGGTTCTGATGTTTCTAATTTCCAGTCTACAATATATCCTCCATCTTTATCTTGATTCAAGCTTTCCAATCCAATCATATTACTGTTTGGTACAACACCAGTTGCAGAAACAATAAGATCACATCCAATTATTTTACCAGTAGTTAATTGAGCATACACAGGCCAATTTTCATTTTCTTGGTCAGATGTTTCTAAAGTATCCATAATTTTAACTATTTCAGATTCATACTCTACTTGAACAGTTGATAAAGCATTGCCTTTTTTAAATTTAAAATTATCATGCCAATCAGGTCCTAGTGCTGGTCCTCCCTTTATAGAGTTATCATTTGTAATTGTATATTTCATGCGCTTCACAGGTTGGTTATCAGTATCATTTTCCTTTTTCAGTAACCTTTCTTGAAAAAATTCTGCTGCTCCTGGATCAATAAACGTCGCTGAAATGTGTTTATCTTTTATGACCCAAACTACATCAATACCATTTAATTCATGAACCAGCTCAGTAGCAATACCACCATTACCTACAACTATAATCCTTTTCGAGCCTTTCAATTTTTCAACAAAAGTTTCTACTGATTCTGTGTCACGAATTCCAATGACTCTACTATTATTTTCACAAATGAGCTTTGGTCTAGCTCCAGTACAAATACATAATTTTTTATAAGATATTATTTTTCCATTTTCCGTGAAAACAGTTTTGCTACTTTTATCAACTTTTGTTACAATATCGTTGAAAACCATTACTGATGAAAATACTTCAGTTAAAGAATTAGTGGAGCGCTCTTCTACATCAAACTGTGTTAGGGTTTTTCCAAATGCAATTATATTTGTAGCTGCTTTTATCAGTGGACTAGCTGATATTAAAATTACATTTTCTTCTGGAGCTAGAAAAGCTATACTTTCAGCACAAGATACTCCAGCAATACCACCTCCAATTACTACAAAAGTAGCTTCCATTTTGCAATCTTAATCTTAATAAAACTATTGATATACTTTATTCTTTGTTTTTAGCTTCAGAATATTGATCATACCACTCTGAATAGTCGTACTTTCTGAAAGGAACGTCATAAGATATAGTTCCGTAATCTTTTGCTTTATATATAGCTACACGAAGCATTTTATGTTGGAACTGACAAAGTCCAGTTTTTCTGTGAAGAATATGTAAATTAGTCCAGAGTTTGAATTTAATACAAACAATAAAATTTAGCAAAAATTTTTATTATGAAACCTGATTAAAATTATTTAATTTCAAGTAAATTAAAATTAATGAAAATTTTAATACTTAAACTAAAACTACTTACTCATAACTGATAGTTTCACCATTGTAAGGAGAAATAAACTGCTTTAGTAAGTCTACATTTCTGTAATCTATAACCAAGTATTCATCTCTGCATATTGGGCAAGGATTACTTGTAGAAATAACACCTGATCTCTATAAAACAGTGCAAAATAAATTAATAACAAAATAATTATATTTACATTTAGTACAATAATATTACAGATCCATACTATGCAAGTTTTTCTTGTTTTATTAGGAGCAAATTGACCTTTATGATTTCTTCTGTAATATTTCCATACTGGATCATTTCCATAAGTTATTTTGTAAGCTGTGAAATGAAAATATTTAAAAAAAATTAATAATTAACTATTGAAAGGGACTTTTATAAGGTGATAGTACCATCACTTTGAAGGTATTTAATACTAGTTTCTAAAGGTATAACTTTGGTTCTGTCAACCATAGGATGAAGCTTTTCTTGTTCTTCTGTACCATTTTCTGATTGATGTTCACCTTCTACTTCTTTTTCCTGTGTCTTTTCACTGCAACGAGCCAAACTTTGTGAAAATCTCCTCGCTGCTATAACCTGCAAACTAATCTTATTACCAAAAAGTTCTAAAAAGTAAGCAATTAAAAATTTAGCAAATTACTCTATGCACTCCAGAGTGACTTGCGTTTCCAAATGTGTTTAAAAACAATCGAACAAATGACATTTTTTAATCAAAAACTAGAAATGAATTTATTTACATGCGACTATACAATTTAAGAACGTTTATGAATGGCTATACCTAACCTCCAATTTGCTAAATTCCCTTCCGATCATATGCAGAGTGTACTGTATAGTCTCCATAGTTCCGATCTTCCGATGAACAAAACAAAAGTGACCGTCTTCCAACCAAAATCAACTAATAGGCATTCGACTTCAAGGTCTATACATATTTATTTAAGTTAACATGCCAAAGATTAATCGAATAAAGTTGACTGCCACAGAAACAATCAAATAAACATAACATTCTGTTTTTAATGTTTCATATTATTTGTATTTTAAATGTGTTTAATTTTAATAAAATTGACTAAAAATATCTAAAATGTATTATAATAATATTATCAGCTTTCCCGCTAGAAAAATTACGCTTAGGGTTTTGACATTATTTGACCAAGATTATTACGTGTTTCTCCCATTCTAAGTATGTTTTAATTTACAGTTGAAATTTAATTAGTAAAGCTATTAAAAAATTTCCAACCAATTTATTTATGACTATTTAGACTGTAGAGGAACTTTACAAGGGAAATTAGGAGCTTAACTTCGTTAACTGTTGTTGAGACCTTAGTAGCAATTTATTCAGCGAAAATACTGAAAATGATTATTTATTATTTGAATGTTACATTTATAGAATTAATCACTTATATGCGACAATTTAATATTCGGAAGCAGCCGCGCTCAAGAATAAAAATTAAGATGGATGGTTTTTTTAAGCAGGAAACTGCCGCCCTCTACGTTACAGAGACGAAAGAACGCTAAATGGCAAATAGGCCCGACTCCCGAGTTCGCCACATTCCAAAGCCACCTGTCCGACGATGCCGCGAGCTGGCGCCTCGATGTCATTCTTGTATCACGGGCGGTATCCGTGAGCAATACAGACCGCGAGAGCCGCGAGTGAACGTCAACGGCGGTGGCAGCAGCCTCAAGCAGCATAGCGATTCTCGGGGCGCGGTGTTTCTCAGTGAACACACAGACATAGTCGAGCGCGGAGCGTGACTCGCTCACCCGCCCAGCGTCGTCGTGTAGTCTTCGTTGCCGTTGTTCTACATCGTCATCGTTGCAACAGTTGTCGCGTGTGTGGTGGCAGCCAAACAGTATAAGATATACATATATACACATACAGTGGTTTCTCTTTCTCTCTCTGACTCGCAGCGTCGTAGGTATATAGTCGCGGATAGACATGTTTGTGGCGTGTGCTTGAGTGTGCTGCGCGTGTGAGGCAAGCACCCAAGCTGCAACAGCGATAATTGTCGAGGCAGAGTCGAGAGAAAAGAGAGACGGAGAATCGACGTTACATACGTTGCAGAAAGAAAGAGAAAGAGCATACGAGTATTGGTCGTCGCCGTGGTGAGTGCGTAGCCACTGGAGGCTACATGTATATGTGAAAGTGCGCGAGTGAAGGCGGCAAAGCTATTGGCAAGCTGAGTCTGGCGACGACCGACGACATTCCGAGCTGCAGCGACGATAGCCGGCCCCAAGCAACCATGAGCTGGGGAACCGAGCTTTGGGTACGTATCGGCTTCTGTTGTTGGGGCGCGACCCCGACTACGCTCAATGCATGCACCTCTATGTGCTTTGCTTACGCGTGGGAGACCAGCCGATTCTTCCTATACATTCCCTCCTATTCCGTCCTTCGTGCGCCGCGAAATTCCTCGTTCTCGATCTCAAGCGGGAGAGCAACATCGCGTGGTAAAGTTTCGCGCCAGCGATGCTGACTCATTTGCCGAAGATATTGTTTATCGTTGCACTGCTTTGTTTTTCCTCTTTTGTCCGGCTGTTGCCGCAGAGTCTGCGAGGAAACGAGTGTTCTTTGGTGTACAATTCATTCGGTCGACAATTTGCGTTTCTACTGAAATTCCAAAGAAGAATGAGACTCGTCGTGAAAGGAAAAGAAAAACAGAGTAAATAAGCTGGGTTTTCCGAAGTTATATGAAATCGAGGAACGAGTGGTTTTGTAGGGTGTGTGCGAAATAATCGGCGCATCCCCGTGCCCTCGCGAACGATACGGATGAGCAGGAGGGAGAATGAGAGAGAGAGAGAGAGAGAGAGAGAGATAGAAAGAGAGAGAGAGAGAGATAGAAAGAGAGAGAGAGAGAGATAGAGAAAACCAGTTCACGCGGTGGCGGCGCAGGCGCAGCCTCTTGCCTTTTCCGTTGGTTGTTAGCCCTGGGCCACGCTTTCCTTTTCTTTCCTTCTCTTTCTTCAAAGTCTTTTAGCCCCATTTAGTCCCTTCGATTCTCCATATTCATGATTTCATTTTACACGTGGCGTCGCCTGGAATTTTTCAGTGGAAAACCGTAAACGGTGAGGCGACGGCACCAAACAGTTTTGTTGTCGCCGGGGCGCTAGAGTAAAGAATTTGAAAATTGGATCAGCAGCAGTGGCGGCAGAGGCTCGTTGGAGCGCTCTCGGCTTAATTAAATAAAACGTGCGTGCTGACCCGATCATTTACCGGCCGCTTTAATCAGAAGGCGTGCTGCGTGTGTCATTCCCAGTGAATTTAAATGACACACGAGCGCGTACGTACATCATTCTTTTTTTTCAGTCGTTCGTTCGATCTATAGGTACATAGATTCGCCTCTAGATTAGATAAAATTACTAGCTGGTCGAACAACAGACTTTCAATTGATAACCTCAGCGCCGGACTGTCGATTACGAAACGACAGATAAATCACGTGCTCGAGCTGTAATTTCCTCGATTCTTCTGCCTTTTGTTTTTCTTTATTTTCGTGCGGCCTGGTTTACATCGCAGCCGAGTAGCCTTTCGTTTTTACGGAGAAAAAAAAAGGCCGATCAAGTATGGCTAGCGCGGCGCGCTCGGTGAATCAGCATCGCGCTCGTGCACCTGTTCCAATCCAAACAAGTGCTCCTCGCGCACACGCGCGCGCCGCGCGGCCACAGTCTCCTGGCAAATCCATTAGTTACAGAGCGAGAGGAAAAGGAGAAAAAGGAGTCGATGCAATTATCACTGGTACTAATCTCTCGCGGATTCTTTCGCTCTTCTCGGCTTGAGTTACTCCTTTGTTTGCCGCGCGCGCCTCTATTTTTAGTTGGCTGGCGTAGTTGCCCCTCATCGTGGAGATTTCAGAGCCACCCAGCGTAGAGCGAGAGAGAGAGAGAGAGAGAGAGAGAGAGAGAGAGAGAGAGAGAGAGAGAGAGAGAGAGAGAGAGAGAGAGAGAGAGAGAGAGAGAGAGAGGTCAGCAGTGTAAACAAACTCGAACGCTAAGAAACAGCCGGACGTGCAGAGCCGGCGATTGCAGTTGGGAAGGCTGATCTAATCCCAGAGCTACGCACTTCCGGTGCGAGCGAATTTTTGCGTACAGAAATTTTTGAGTCGCGCGCTCACGGTGCCCCATCTCTCGCTCTCTCTTTCTCTCTCTCTTTCGATGGGTACACACGTCATCGTTCCGCTGCGGTTTTTACGCTTTTGCAATTATGAGCGTAGACCCGCGTCAGCTGGTCAGCCTCGTTTGCGGCTCGTTTCTTTCTCTCTCTCTCTCTCTCTCTCTCTCTCTCTCTCTCTCTCTCTCTCTCTCTCTCTCTCTCTCTCTCTCTCTCCTCCTCGCCTCTCTCGCGACTGAACGCTGTGTAATTGCATTAGCTCTTTTTTTTATTGCGCCGTCGCTTTGGAGAGCGGCAGAAGAAGCAAAGTGCTCCGCGACCCTGCCCGCTTGCCTGGCAACAAAAAGCAGCGATTCGCTTTGATGCAGCTCAACGACCGAGTCGTCCAAAAAGAATAAAAGGAAAAAAAAAGAAAAGCGTGCGGTGGTTTCGCCCGAAAGCTAGCGCGAAACTTTCGCTGTCGCGCGGCGCGCAGGACAGCCTCCCGGAGGGCATTATTTTGGCCTATGCCCACCGGCTGTAGGCCCACGTGACGCCAACAATGGCTACGGAGGCAGCGGCAGGCGGTGAGGTTCGCATTGTTTGGGGCCCGCGTGCGGAGCAGTGCCTGCGCCTGAAAAAATAACCGAAACCGAGCTAAACGCTGAAAATAGTTCGATGACTCCGTTTGAATTCGCCAACGGCAAAGGCAAAGCTGTGGCAGTGCGTGCTATGCGTCCGTATCCTTGCGGTACTCGCGAGGCAAAGAGAGACGAGCGAGAGAGAGAGCGGGAACTTTGAAATTCTCAGCGCGTTTTCCGTCAGTGTAGCAGTCTGAACTGGCCGCGGCATAAATAATTCATACTCGCTGCTGGCCTGCGCTCCTTCCTTGACTCTTCGTCTTTCTTCACCGCCGCGAGACCTTGCACAAAAAAAAGAAAAAAAACAAGAGAAAAATCGGACGATTTGGTTGTCGTCACATTGGTACCGCGTTTGTTGCGCTCTTCGACCGGCCCAGTCAGGTGTCGGCAATCGACGTTCCGAGGTGACGGAGCCGACGTCAGAGCTTCGATGACTCGCTGATCGATCGGCCGCAGCAGAGAAGGTGGGGGGGGGGGGGGGGGCTATGCATTATCGAAGCAGACCGAGCCACGCGCACAGTCGGGCGCGCTCGAAGAACAAGAGTAGTCCGTACGCGTCGAGCATGGAGATGCGGAAGAGCGTTGCTCCGCGAGAGCGCTAACGGCGCTCGCGCCTTCGACCTTGCAGGCTCAATCGCGCCGACGACTGCCGCTCGAGCGCGAGGCCACGATCGGCCTCTCGGCAGAGAGAAACAGAGCGAGTGCCATCACGCGCCGTGATACGCGCGGAGCGCATTGAGCCGTGACGCGACTGACCCACACGCGCGCGCGCTGCCGGCAATTCGCGTCGCAATAGCCGTCCTTTCAAAATCGGATCGCTCGCTGGCGTTCCTTTTTCCTAGCGATCCTCCGCACCAGCGGCTCTTCGCCGATCGACTTTCTTCCCCCGCTCCCTTCCGTCGAAGATACCAGAGCGACGCGAATATGTAGGTTATAATTACTTTTGCCGAGCGGCGCATCGGCGGCAGTTCGTGCCGCTCGACTGCGCAATTAATCAGGAAACGTCCACTTTATTTCGCCTCCTCTCTCTGTCGCTCTCTCCGGCGTTTTTCTTGTTCGGTCGACGGGCACCGAGCGTACCGAGATTGGTTTTTTGTTGGCTTGGCGTGCAAGCGAGGAAAAATCACGACGGCGGCGCGACGTCCGATGGCATCCGGCTGCTGCTGCTGCTGCTGCAAAGCGGTCCGCATGAATGGTCTTAGGTAACCACAGCAGCGCTGTGCTCGCGGAGCCTTACGTGACTGTCTGTCCCTCTATCTCGTTTTTTCGCGGAGTACTCGCATTTTTCAGCGCGATCGGCTTTCTCGACCCGCGCGCGTCGAAAACTGCCAGTCAAAACACGCGCACGCCAGTCGAATCGGCACGTTCCCGGAAGAAAGGCAAACACTGGCCGAAAGCACGAAAGCGCATTGCCGGTCGCAAGACTTTCTCTCCGCGCGCCGGCCTCACCGAAAATCCGAGGACGCGCGCCGCGGCTCATTAATTTCCGTCCGTGGGGCCTGCACTCGGCGCCCCGCGCGCCGTCTTCCTTCTCTCGGGCTGGCTCGAGGCGCGAAGTAACGGCGCGTCGTCGCGTCTGGGTATTGTCGCCCAAGTCCATTTGAATACATCCCATTGGCCCACTTCCACGCCGGCCCGCCACCTTTCATATCCGCCACGACGTGGCGGCGCGCGTAGAAGCAAAACGTAACCTGTTCTGAAAACTAAGTGGAAAACGAAAAGGAGCAACGAGATCGAGCGAGGAGGAGCCGACGCGAATGCCCGCGTACGGACGCGCGCGAGAAACGAGTCTCCGATAAGCCGTCGTCCGGTCTAACGACTCTCCCACCTCGGCCCGTCGGGGGCCACGTTCGTCCTCGTTAGGCCCGCTGCAGCTGTGTCCGAGTCGAACGAACCGACCGACCTTGCGCTGCCGTGGCTTGGCTGTGGGCTCTCGCGCGGGCGTCCATTGAGCTTTACGCGGTTCGGCCAGTTGTCTCGCAGAGCCCAGATCGAGCCGAGCCGGCGACCTCGGGGCTGATTTCAAAGTGTATACGCGCGAAAGCACGCGCGAGTGGGAGAGAGAGAGAGCGCACGCGCGCTGCGATTTATGAAACAGCGTCGGAGATTAAATTGCACGGAGAAATCGGCGTAATGCGTCGGCCTGTGGGGATTTTTGCTTGGGCAGCGCGAATGCCGATTGCCGCTCTAGATTCGAGCGCGCGCACGATAGAGATCTCGGCGGTGGGCGAGACTAAGTGGCAGCGGCCGCGTTGACGATTGCGTCCGTCGCGGCTGCACCTCGTATCGGGATTCCCGAAAGCGAGCGCTTCGCCCGCTGCCCTCGTTTGCGATGCGCGTCCGCGGCCGCGCCGAGGAAGCTCGTCAAGCACGGTCGCGGTCGCTGTGCGCTCGAGCTGGCGCCGCCTTCGCTCCGCGCGCCCCTTCGTCGCGCGACAATCGCCGAGGTAGCCGCTTTGAGAGAGGCATCGGGGCACACTCCGCAGAGGATTGATACCGGGAGGCATCATCGATCCCTCGCTCCGGCTTCGTCCGTCGATCGAGC